TTTGCTTACATTCTCACTATGGCATGTAAAGGGAAATCTTCTTCACTGGAGACCCAGATATGAAAAATAAAGCTAAAATGGGTTTCATCTTTTCCTCTAGCCTACCAAAAAAGAGTGTTTATTGCCATTCTGTCCATCATAGAGAAATATCCCTCATTTCCTGTCCTAGTGACAACCCCAGAAAGTGAGGGAAAATCTCCCAAATGAGCCAACTGACTGCAAAAAAAAAATGTGACATAGGCTCTTTCCATTCCATAATCTATCCAAAATGTTAAAAAAAATTGGCTAAAGATTATCTTTAGAAATCATTAATAAAAATAATAAAGTAATAATTAATATGAATTTATTTTGTTTCAGTTTTGGATCCTCCCATAAACTTGACAGCCTCAGCGGTATCAAGGACAAGTGCTCTGGTGTCATGGCAGCCGCCGGTTTCTGCAACCGAAAACTATATTCTGACTTACAAATCTACCAATGGCAGCAGAAAGGTGAGTTATCAAATTAGCAAGTGCCTGGCCTCCATGAGTCTTCCGAATACAACTTTCATTATTACACTTCAGCTGTTCACATTGTCCAGTCCTGACTTGCCATTTGGCACAACATGAAAGTATATTAGGCTCTGAGTCTACACGATTAAGCTTTTGTCTTGTTGGAGGGTCTTTACATGTGAGTGGGTGGGAAGTTGCAGCACTGCAGAATGTGTCTGTTTTTATTCCAAAGCTGCCAGGACAGAAAACTCATCATCTTCATGTTACGTAAGAACCAAGCAGCTATAGTATAGACATGATATGATCATTGTCCACACCTCTCAACTTTCTAAGGGGAGAAAGAGGGACAACATGCAGTCCAAAGTATGCAGGCAAAGGACATACCACACCCCAGTTACATGAGCCATAAAGAGTCAATATGTAGGAAATGATTGGCTAAGCCCACAAGTGCTTTTTTGATCACTATTTTTCCTTTGTATTGAGTGCACTTTTTAAAAATAGTACATTTTTATAGAGGTCAATACATCAGAGAGACAATTAGGGACAAAAAGGAGGAACCGTCCCTAAATAAGGGACAGCTGGGAGGTATATCAGTTAATTTGAGTAGGGGGTGGCTAATGGTGGCCCACAATGGAATTATACAATTTCCTTTGGATTCACCAACTACTGTGTAGTGGAATGGCCTATCTGACTGTATATGAATTAAAAGGTTTGTCCATGTAGGCCCACATGCTACATAGTTGTCTGTATATCTCTAGGAGCTTACACAGACATTTTACAATCTAATAGCTAAATGTGTGGCCAGCTTTACAGGTTAGAAAATGTGTCCTTTTGTTGTGGTTTTCCTGCTCTAAGAGCCTGAAGGAAAATAATAAAGCTGAACTCTGGGCAAAAAAAAAACGTTTTATTTCAATATATTCCTCAATAGCCACAAAGGGTTTCATTCTACTTTACAGCTTTAGAAATTATCATGCTGAGAGGAGGACGTAGATGTTTGGAGCTCATAAGCAAAGGTTCCTAGGTTTCGTAGATGCAATTGACATTATATCTGATATTATTATATTGATACCAAAACATTTTCTTGTAGGAAAAAGCGCACACAATACAAAGTAACAGTTGTGGCCCTTTGTATTGTTTAATACAGTACATTGGTAAAAGCTGCAATTCCCCATAGCCGGTGTTGGACCACAAAATATCCTGCCTAAGTGTTTGACAAATAGTTGTATTCCTAGTTTAAAAAATTCACAAGTTCCTGCTGCGTAATCCCGCCGTTCCTTTGCTGCAGCCATCTGTCTTGCAGCTGTGATGTCATCTGACACCTGTCTCTGTCTTATTCACCATTCTCTGCTCAGTGCAGGAAGAGGTTGTGGCAGAATGAAATGTTTAAGACGCTTTAACAGTTGGGCAGCTATTTAACGGTGGTTGCAGACAACTGAATGGGTTCTAACACGCGGCAAGTGAGTGTTCATGTATATTGTAATGATGAGGAACGTGGCACCAAATATTTTTTTTCCCTTTTCAACTGCATTTATCATTTCCATAATATCACCAGCCTCTTCCTGGAGAAATTTGGCCTTTCCATTGAAAATGGAAAAAGAAACCCAGATCCTGTACCAATGGTTTTAACAGACGTATTTTTATAAGGAGGCATAGGGTGCTAGGATGCTACATTCTCAATAAGATTTGCATCCAAATCAAACTTTTATAAGGATGAATTGTGCTACATGAAAATAGCATGTAAAAGTCATCAAAATGCAGCTCATCTCACAGAAAAGGTGTGCGTGTAACCCTTAAAGTAGTATTGAACTCTCCAAACTTTTTCTCAAAAATGAATCCAGAACAAATAATTATTCATTATCCAACAAAGTATTTCTTTACATTTTTGCATTTGCAGTCATCTTGTTTCCAAACAGTTGGCTCCATCTCTCTTAGTTCCACTTTCCTGAACTTCCTGTTGAGTATATTATCACAAGGGACAGCAGCTGTCCATCTACTAGATTGAAGAAGGGAAGAGGGGGAAAGGACAAACAAGAGAAGAGGAATGGCTTTCCTTACTGTGCCTGTTTGCAGAGACATGCATAGCTTAATAGCACACATGAGGGTGGCTCAATAGGAGCCTGCAAAGGAAAGAAGCCACCGTTAAACAGGATATCAGGGCCAGTGCTCAGACGACCTTAATAATCTTTGATATTCAGTATTAAAATTAAAACAACTCCACAGGGCGCCTAAAGTCAATTTTTAAATTCTAATTGATATGTTTTATCCCTTTTGAATTTGATTACTGCTATTCTCTAAGGGGACTGGTTAGATTAATTTTAAATAACTTTTCTAGGAGGTTTTGTTTTACTGTTTACTGCTTTTTTCTTTTTTTATTTGTCATTTTGTAAATGTGCATGATGTCCCCAAGACCTGGAAGCTTGCATTGTGTTCATGTTTTTTATTTTTGTTTATAGCCAGCCCTGTGCTACTGCCGAATGTATACGCATATGAATTAATTCAGATTTATGCAGGTTTACAAGGCAGATGACTAAAATGTTAATACAGCAACCCAGGAAGCCAAGAATAAAACTACATGGGACGTACAGTCATTAGTATAAGCCTACAGACAATTTCACTGTCATAAATAAATGGTATCTTTACTAGTTTTGTCTCCTAAGAGTGATTCAACATGTATAAGCCAGCCTTCTATGCTTTTCAAGATGGATTTTCTTTTTACACAAATATCTATTATGTATATTCACTCCTGTGAATGCTTTCATATTATGCTGCATTCGTATTAGTCATATTTATTGAGGCATGGGCTAATTATTTGGTGGGACTGTTCTCTAACTGCGGATCATACAAGTGGAACATACAAAGCTAATGGAGGTGTTCACTAAGTGTGGACCACCACACAAAGTCCATGGGACGGTTTGCTAACTGTTAGCCACCGTACAAAGCCAGTGGGACTGTTTGCTGTGGACCACCATGTGACGACACGGTGATCAGTTTATAAGTTAAATGTGTATTGGTGTTGAGTTGTGTTTGAGTGCGTTATGCTGTGTGACCTGGTTATGGAAAGAGTATCAGCACCATCCCTCGTTATCTCCCATTGTACTCTGAGGGAGCTCAGAACAATGACATTCTGGCCAGGCTCCGGCTATGGCTGTCTGGAGTTCGTTAGCTGGTGGACACCTGTGGTGTTGAGCAGACCGATGGTCTGGGAGGGGAGGGTGGATGTGATGGGATTATATTCTGATTCCATCACTTGCTGTATATAAGTTTGTGCAGTTGCTCAATAAATCAGAGTTTGTTTACCCTACACTCAAGCCTTGGCTAGTGACTGGGGAAACTGGGATCTAAAGAGCAGCGGGTTCCAATATCTCCTCAGCAAGGAAGAAGACAGCGGCGGACATACTCATCTTGAGTACGGGGGTCCGTCACACACCATACAAAGCCCATTGGACTATTCCCTAACTGTGGACCGCCATTAAAAGCCCATGGGACTGTTTGCTAACTGTGGACCACCATACAAAGCCCATGGTACTGTTCAGTAACTGTGGATCATCATACAAAGCCCAATATTTACAAGCAGTGAGGCTGATTAAAGACTTCAGGAAAATACAATGTAAAGTTTCAGTAAGTTTAAGAGTGTCATTCACACTTGTGTGGACCCTTCTCTGCATATGCTACTATGAAAACTTGGATGTGACTAGTGTGCTACCCTTACTTGCATGCTTCTGGTCCTTGCATATTGTTTGAGTAGAAGAAGTTGACCTCTTACACTAGTAGTCAATGCAATGGGAATGAAGCTAAATGGGGGGGTGACAGCTGGGTTGTTTACTGCAGTGTATCCGGAGAACACTTTGCATCCCAAGGGGGAATTTTCATGGGACAACCGCAGTTTCATAAAAAACTGTTGTAGGTCCCATTCAGCTATGTGGTCATGTTTGGCAGACGTCAGCTCCTGCCAACGAGACATGCTGTATAATTTTTTGCAGCATGGCTAAGAATCCGGGCACCACAATGTGTACAGAGCTGTCCGACTGCAATGCTGACTTTGCAGGGAGCGGCTGATTAGCAGCAGAAATGTGGACCAGTCGACCGTTTTTACTGTCCCTTGGCTGCACTTAAATTAGAGTAGCTTTATTGACAGCTCAAAATAGGACTCTACTAAGCACTGTTTCTAATGTAACTGACCACTTAATTAGGACTGCAATTAATGATTATTTTCAGAATCGATTCGTCGGCCGATAATTTTTTTAAATAATCAATTAATCGGATAAAAAAAATAAAATAAATACCATCCTTAATTTTAAATAAAATACACAAATGGAATGTTACAAACATAAAGTTTAATTCAGAATAAAATTGCGTACAGTGCACTGGAATGCATTGCATTGCGCATTCCATTGTGGGCGATCACAATGTGGGTGGGAGGCACATTTGGGGTGCCACTGAAATGAATGGCACTGCAACGCACCTCCCGCAGCAGAATTTGTCAGGCCGAAACAGGAAATTACTTTTTTCCCACCTTTTTATAATTTTTTTTAAATAATTGTATTATAAGCGCATGGCACTTGAATAGCCTCAGCCAGGGAATCACAGCTGCCAGTGGCAAGATTCTGCAGATGGCAGCTGAATGTAAATATAGCAGGTAGTGGGCTGGTGCAAAAGCCAGCCTGCTATTGGCCATTTCAAATTGAATAGCCAATAGCAGGCTGGCTTTTGCACCTGCCTACTGCTAGCTGTGCCCTCCTCCCAGCATGGAGGAGAGAGCTGGGGGATCCAATCAACAAATCGATAATGAGAATAGTTGACAACTATTCTCATTATCAATTATTATCGATTAGTTGGTTGCGGCCCCACACTTAATAGCCCTAAACTCTAAAACTGTACCATTTCTCCCAGCACAGTACTTGAAAGAACTGGTGGAAGGCAGGCTTTCATTTGGAAATACCCAGAGACTGACAGTGGTGCAGTGGTGAGGTTTAATAAGAACACTTTTACATGACTGTTCAGTCCGACTGGCTGCCACAAGGAGCATTATGTAAGCTAGTACAATTGTACTTTTTCATGTGCAGAATAATCTTAAAATGACTATAAAATAGCCACCCGTGGATTGTACAAACTTTGAATGCCATGTGCGGCATTGCATGAAAAGATGTGTCAAAGAAAGCATGAGCAAAACCACACATGAGAGAAAGATATGCGTGGCCAGCATCGCTGCCTTCTACACTCCATGTTTTATATTCTAGCTCCCGGATCTTTCGGGACTATGGTTTATAGCTAGATTTAGTCCTCAGTAAATATGCACTTTCTGATAACATTTATCTGCCTGCCTGTTAGGAATTGATTGTGGATGCAGAGGACACATGGATCCGCCTGGAGGGTCTGCTGGAGAGTACCGAATACAATGTCACTTTACTATCAGTACTGGATGGAGAACGAAGTGCTGTCACTCACACAGTCTTCACTACAGGTCAGTGTTCCTCAATGACACAGGGAATTCATCATTCCTCTAACATATGCTTGTACTACAGAGCTGTCAACTGTGTTGTGAGGGACATTCCCTAAGGACAGCACTGGCTAAGCGGCGTGCAGTTAATCAGCTCCACAGTCATTCCCAGGTATACTGTTAAGAAATGACTTCTGGAAAATGAATGCAGGCTAATGGGGGATACTTCTCTCACTTTATATTATCCCTATTATTTACCTTGGCTTTTATTATCAGTATTATTCTGCACAGCACATCAAATTCATTTCTCAATGTCCAGGCACATCTTAGAAGTTTATTTTTGTGAATGTATAATCCTTTTCCTTTTTTGTTTTAGATTTCCTTGTGAAGGTTTTTAACTTAATAGACGTATAATCCTCAAATATGTGTGTACAGAGGAGCAGACATATTTATTCTGTGTAGGCTCTTCTTCCTGATTAGGAGTGCTGCATAATGACCAAGCTACTGTTTTTCTCAGTGGAATCATTCTTATTTAAATTAATGCAGATATCCCCACACAATTCATAGTTTTGGGCAACTGAAACAGGCAAAGCCATGTAATGTCGTGGAGTGCAGCTTTGACAATATGTTTCCATATGTCTGGGCTACCTAAATTCCAGCCAGACTAGTGTTGGGTAACCCAGGCTTAGAAAAATAGAAACAACCATTTATTTAAAAAAGATAGAAGATTTGCTTAAGTGCACCAGTGTTGCGTAACAGTATCAGCTAAATGATCAGACAAGTTGTAACGTACAATTTGGTATTTACTGAATAAATGGAAGTGAAACATAAATTGCACAGAGGAAAATACAGGTGAAACTCGAATAATTAGAATATCGTGCAAAAGTAATTGCAGTAAGTGCTGCAAAAGGGGCCCAAACCAAGTACTGAGTACATATGCATGCTTGTACTTTACAGAGGTCCGATATTGTTCTGTGTACAATCCTTGTTTTATTGATTGCATGTAATAATCTACTTTTTTGAGGTTGTGGATTTGGGGTTCTTGGGGTTTTCATGAGCTGTAAGCCATAATCATCACAATGATGACAAATCACGGCTTGAATTATCTTGCTTTGCATGTAATGAGTCTATCTCATATTAGTTTCACCATTTAAGTTGCATTAGTGAAATAAATTAACTTTGCACGATATTCTAATTATTCGAGTTTCACCTGTATATGAACAATGGAAGAGCATTTAAGCAAAATCAATAGTTGAAAGCATGTATAATAAACACATGACTGCATATAACAGTTCCTCGATTGGTCACTAGGTTGCAGCACACTATACATATCAGTTCTAAGTTACAGAAGGACAATACTTGCAAACTCCATGCTGAAAGTGATTTTCAGAGTATATTAAACTTTTTCCCAGCAGGGAAATGCACCATGGGTCCAGGACCTAAAACAAAAATAGTAGTTCTCACTTACAAAGCTGCCACGCAGAGTCTCTCCGCAGAGCAACATGCTATGGCTTCCTCAAAGTTTGCAAAAGGCTGAGAGACACTGCCTCCTCTATAAGAACCAGTTGAATCACTACAATGATTGCCTATGATTACTCTAGTTCCTGAGGTACACAGCAGCCTTCCCCAGCCAAATTGATTTTCCCAGTGCTTTCAGCAGATACACAAGAGCATCCTGTAGAAAATGTGAGTTCCTTTTATGATACTCTCAATGCTTCTTCTCTATCTCCTTAAACTTGCTCTTAAAGTGACAATAAACTCAGGCGGTAAATCTTAAAAATACATTCAAACACCTTAACTATTGGCAAAAATGTAGGTTATTTGTGCATCACTCAGCTATAGATCCTCAAATCATCTCTGAATTCATGCCATTAACAAACATTTGAATTCAACAAACGAACAAAACAAAACTGAATTCATGCTGACACTGTCCTTCCTTCTGGAGGGTGGCTACTTTTGTTGCCCATGGTTCTTGTGTGTTTTATAAAGTAGTCACGGCTCCAAGCTCACTTGATATACCACAATCTCAATACAAATTAGTAAACTAAAGGTGAGATTATAGTTCATCATTGGAGCGAGTTTGGAGCGGTGGCTAATTTCAGAGACCATGGAGAACAAAAGTAGCCCCCCTTCAGAAGGAAGGACAGTGTCAGCATCAATTCAGAAATGATTTGAGAACCAACAGCCGAGTGATACATAAATACAATACATTTTTGTTAACAGTTAAGGTACTTGAATGTAAGATTTAACTCCTGAGTTTAGTGTCACTTTTAATGGAATAGCTGATGCCTGGCGGTGTTTGCATGTGACATAAGATGGAGGTAATAACTGCAAAATATAGTTCCCCCGGTATATAAAGGGCTTTTTAACTCTCTTGAAAGAAGCTGCTGTGACCTGCAGGCACCTGAATGTGGCTGCTATTCTATGCAAATGCTGGTTTAAAAATGGATAAGTTGGCACAAATTCAGTTAAAGTAAATACTTTAATGTCCAATATAAAGACACAGGAAGCCAGCATTATTCAAATGAGTAGCTGTTCTGAACTAAATGATTCCATAGAAAGTCATTTTTTTTGTCCTGAAAAGAATGGAGGAAGTGAAAACCAAGCAGAAAATGCCCTGAAGATCATATCATACTCGACAGGTGAAGATAAAAATTAGTTAAGTTACAAAATAAAGAAGGAAGAAAAAGTAAGAAAATAGAATAAAATGAGGGAAAAGATTCTGCATGTTATCTAAGAGCTGTTTAATTGTGCAACTCTTCTTCTACTTATTAATCTAATGAAAACCTAACATTCTCCCTTTTCTATACTGTTTATTACCTACTACATTGTCATGTGACAAAGAAATCATTTGTGCTATCAATGTCCACTTTAGTTTGAATAAATGTAACCTCTGAGCAACTAAGACACATGTCAGCCTAGCTAAAGTTAGCCTAGCTATTTCTACAACGTGGAAGGCAGTTAAAGAAATATGTAGGAGAACATATGCCTATTGACTTGACTCATGACTGCAAATCTCCTTTTCTCTCCATTCAGGAGGAAGAGTGTTTGCCTATCCCCAGGACTGCGCTCAACATTTAATGAATGGAGACACTCAAAGCGGAGTATACACTATTTCTATTAATGGTGACCAGAGTCTGAGTTTGCCTGTGTTTTGTGATATGACCACCGATGGAGGAGGCTGGATTGTGAGTCTTTTGAATGAGAGCAGAGTAAACTATAGAACTACTACCATGGCTCCATTTTCCATGCATTATTGCAGTCTCTACCACCAAAGCCCAAATCCATGCAAAATTGCTGTCTAGGGGAGAAGCTAAACTACTTTTCCACCAGTGCATTTTGTGAATAAGGCTCTCATCATCTCCACATTATTAACACCATATATACACACAAATGCCTTGTTAACATGATAAAGCTATCCTGTGAGCATGAACTTCTCTTCTAGCAGTTAATCTAAGCTATACTAAGAGAAATATGATCTCATTCTGAAAATGCTAGTTCCCTGGTTGTCTCTGATCTCAGTTCTTTCTGTGACACTGACCTACAACAGGTATTCAGACAGTGAAATCAAAACTCCTGACCAACATACTTCTTTTAGTTCAGTGGTTTAGAAAGTAATGCAGCATACAGCTCATCATAATAGCCAGGAAACTAGAACTCTCATAAGGGAATTTAACAATGGCACCCTTTGTATTTTCTCAGTAAACTTTTCTGACAATTGGTACAATGAGGAAAAAGAGACGATCATCTATTACTAAAGGTCACTTAATTGCAAATGACACAGTAGACCTTTTTACGTTACCCCACTGTGGCCATGTAAGTGCGAAGCAAAGGTTACCTATAGTGGGGCCTTTAAAGCAAGGCGATATATCATTTACCCTTAAAAAAATGTCAGCATTCAAAAAGTGTAACCATTCACAGTGTCACCTATTACCATTATAAATGACATTTTCGAAAGTGACAGGACCATTAAGCCGACCCTAAGATCAAAATAGCTTCTTAACTTCAGATCTTACCTTTAGAACAATAAGTCTCTTTTTAAGCACATGCATACTGCTAGCCTTAGAATTCACTTTTGTTTTTCAGCACAATTGAGCTGACTTATAAAAAACAAAGGTGATCAAACGGCCTGCATTGCTCTCTTAAACCATTCATGAGTAGACGAACAACTTGAATCTGGTTGCTTGTTACAGACAACACAAACACAGGGTCTTATGTGGAAATACCACCCCAATCACCAATGCCTATTGATACCTCCACTCCCCTTTGTCATCAACCATGTTACCTCACTATTATCAAGAAATTGTAAAAAGATATTTGGGTACAGTCTGCTATCTTAGCTGCCCTTTGATGCTTTCTGCTATTGGATGCAGTTTGCTGTCTGAGCTAGCCTTGGACTTTAGAATGCAAGAGCCAAGAGTGTACATAGACAGTGACTGTTATGTTGTATGTTGCTCAGTTGCAGAGTCATTTGACTCCTCTGAGCCAACTCTGTACCCCTCCACTGGTGAGCTTAGTCGATCTATAATGTAGAAAATCAATCACTTTATCTGCCCTTAAGCACTTTAGAAATGCAATGCCTTATTTATAAACCTGTCTGTCTCAGACAATTCATGGCAACCAATTTGATTTTAACCTGCACTGGAAAATGACAGTTGTTAAGTATAATTTTGATTTGATTGGTTTCTATGAGTTGTTAGTGACAGTTTTTTTCCTCACACACTTTCATATATAAGGTCAATTTTTACCATCTCCATATCTACATTTAAAAAGCCTTCCATTTATATATCCGTATGCATTCTCTCTAGGTATTCCAGAGACGTCATAATGGGTTGACAGATTTCTTTCGTAAGTGGTCTGACTACCGAGTTGGCTTTGGAAACTTGGAAGATGAGTTTTGGCTGGGTAAGGCAATTACAATTGATGAGTGCTAACTATACACTATCATTTTTGTGGCCAAAAAAATATATGATCAAATAAAAAGAAAAATACCTGAAAATAATATCTAATTCAACCTGGATCGCTAGTGCCACTGGGTGGCTCCATGTCTGCCTTTTACAACAAGTCTATTGAGTTCAACCTATAGAGATATGGGGGGAAAAAAAAAGAAGAAAAGCCTAAACAGAACGCTATGCCCACAGCTACTGATCTACTAAAGTTGATCCAGAGGAAGGCAAAAAAAAACCCTATAAAGCGTGGTTCAGTTTGCTCCAACAGGGGAAAATTTTTTATTTCTGCTCCCATTAGGCAATTGGATATTCCTTCGATCAACAATCTCTGATGCATAATATACCTATAAGCAATATCCAGTAATAAGTCAATATCCAGTAATATTCTGTGAATATAAGAATACATCCAGATGTTTTTTTAAACAATTAACTGAGCTAGCTAGAACTAGCTCCTGACCTGGCTTAAGTATGAAGATTAGGAGTTATAACATTCCTTAGACTTCACTAGCAGCATGCTTGTTCTACGCCAGTGATTCCAAAAGTGTTGAGGCCTTAGACAGGCAGTTTTAAAAAGAAGGCAATAATGGCAGCCTTGGTAATTCTCCCAGTACAACTGCCCTATAACAATGTGGTGTGAATGTGGATGCTGGTAGTTTGAATAAATGTTGATGGGATATTCACCACTCAAGAAAGGGAATATAATATAAATGAATTTATTGTAGATGGATATATGTAGGGAGCAGTGATGAGTAGGCCAGTTAGAATGCATTCTATTCTTGAGTCCTATCCTGCTGCAATCCATTTTTTAGATTATTCGCAAAATCACCAGTCCAAAGGGAACTGGTAAAGGGGTCACTTCCTAGTTTCTCACTTTGTCCCCATGCCCCACACTATCTGACTAGTTGTAGGAAGCGATTCTTACTATTTGTCATCATAGCATCAATTTAATACATTCAAATACACACTCATCCTCTCCATCCTAATCCAGCCACTTCACTGCTCCATTAGATTGCTTGCACCATTGTTTTTCCTGTTCCATCAGAGCCTTTGCACCATTGCTCTCCTTAAGTAGAACTTCTAGGTTTAGGGGAACTTGTGACCTCTTACCATGTGACACCATTTGACCCTGAACAGACAATCACCAGGCCCAACCACTGCCGTGGGGGTGGGGGGGAGCAATGATGTCCTGTGACAACATCTCACACCGGAGCATACTAACAATTTACTTCTGCAGTGGGGTAAGTATACAGTACCTTTCCCTGGGATACTCACAGTAAACAGGCGGGTGACAGAATCTCTTTAATGGTTCCATAGAATCCCTTTACCCATTCACATAATCACACTGATTGGCTTGACCTGCTGATGAAGTGGCAACCACGGGTACCTGGACCTTTTGCTTCATTTATGTATTCTTCAAGTACCCAACATGATGCAGAACGCTAGCATACTCCCTTGAATGCTCTGCTCCTTTCCACCATTACAACACCTCCCTTTGCTTTTTAGCTAGCAGAAGGTGAAAACAGCAATGATCTGGCATGGTTTCTGGGAGCAAAGGGCACTCTTCATTGTCATGATAAATTATTTCTTCTAAAGTCACTAGAAATGATCTCTTGCCATAGAATGGAGAAGGAAAGTTATTCAGTGCTTCAGCTCAAAAATCAGTCAGGTACCACAACAGCTATAATTACGTTCCTGAAAGGTGACAACAGCTAAGCATAAGGCAGCTATTAATAATATAACTTTTCAGAAGATAGATGCTTCCTCACATCAGGTTTAATAACAGTAATACAGTTTTATAATTTAGAGGATTTCAGGGTAAAATTTCATTTCTGCTATGATGCTCTTGTGAAGAGCGGAGGGGACGGTTAGGGTAATACTTTGAGACCAGGTTGGAGATATAGCCGGGGCCAGAGTTGTGGATGGCTTTGTACGCGGTTGTTAATATTTATTAATTTATTAATTAATATTAATTTATATTTTTTGTGTTTTAATAATAGATGCAAATAAGTGTGTACAAAATGCTCCAGTAAAGGAACTCATGCAGAGATTTGTACTAAGGTTTGATGGAGTTTCTCACTGTCACTATTTGCACAGGTCTGGACACCCTTCACCAGCTGACGTCTCAGGGCCGCTGTGAACTGAGAATTGACATGCGTGATGGACAGGAAGCTGTGTATGCCTATTATAACAAGTTTTATGTGGGCGATCCACGCAGCATGTATAAACTGCGCATTGGTGACTACAATGGAACCGCAGGTAAAAGCGATAATGTTTCCCTACATTATAGAGTCTTGTTTACTAAAGCAAAAGGAAGTGTGATTTGAGCCACAAATGTTTATCAGAAACTTCTATCTAAGCTAATGAAAAGTAAAAGTTGATTAATGTCTGTGGATAACTGCAGATCTGAGTGTGTTTTGCCCTATATGGCCTTTTGTGTAGAAAACAATAGCTTGATTATAGAAGACCAAGAATATGAAATATATGAAAAATACTTTTGAAAGTCCAATTATGTTACAAATTGGCAAACGTGTTACTCACTTTTCCACAGGTGATTCCCTTACTTATCACCAAGGGCGTCCATTCTCCACCAAGGACAGAGACAATGATGTGGCTGTAACAAACTGTGCATCGTCATATAAAGGCGCATGGTGGTATAAGAACTGTCACCGGACTAACCTGAATGGAAAATACGGAGAGACAAGACACAGTCAGGTGAGAAGTGGCATAGGACTTTTGTACATAAAAAATGTTTTTAAAAAGCCTGAAGCTGCTATTTTTAAGGTATTTAGGAACATTTAAAAATTGGCATTTGTAAGAATATGACTCTCAAGTTATGATAGTTCAGCCTTACCTTTCTTAGTAACCTGTATGTACCATTATTTACTTGTATTCTCTACCTGTCTGTTAACCTGTCTATCAGAGTTCCGTTGTAATCATACTACCAATAATGTACCAGCTTTTAAGTTCATTATAGGTTCCACTTTCCCAAAAAATTTGTGGCAGCCAATAAAATGTCTTCTCATACTTTCTACCAACAATGCGCTTCTTTTTGCTGCAATTCTTGCTGTAGTCCAATTTCAAACTACAAAAACACATCAAAGTGTCCGTGGGGTTTTAAGAGGTGTCAGATTTTCATTAAAAAAATTAGAAAATGTATTAGCATTATCAATTAAACATCTGGGGATCAGTGAAACGCGTTGGTAATCAATACAACATTGCCACAGCCTTAAAAGAATGAAAATTTAAGCTTTTTATAAAGATGGAATACATCCTATCAATATGAATTAAAGGAGAACTATGGGGTTCTATCTTTTTTTTATTAATGCATTCCTTAGGCTAAATAAGTAAATAATGTAATTTACGCTAATTAGCCAAAATGCACAGTAAGGCTGTAACCCCTTATTTAAGGTGGTGGGTGGGGCTAAGCGCCGCAATGAGAAGACATCCCGACGTATCTGACGGGATCCTCCCCACTGATGACTGACAGTGATTCTTGAGAGCTGCTGCGCGTCCACGAATATATGGACATGCGCAGCCGCTCTCTCCGTACCTGCACGTCCCCGTGTGCCAGCTCCTTCCCCTCTCTCTCTCTCTCTCCCTGCTGACACTGACATACTAAAATGATCGTGGATCGCTGATGACAGAGGGGAAGGAGCTCTCTCTCTCCGATCAGCGGATCCGATCAGCAGGGATCTCCAGTGACATCATTTACCATATATGGACCAGGGGCGGACTGGGCCAGGGGGCAGGGCGGCAATTGTGGTGATTTCACATATTTTTTCCAGCGCAACTAAATTGGTTAAAGTCTTTCACATAGGGTATTACCCTAATTACAAGTTTGCTGCTATGGAAATTTTTGGGTTTGTTAGGAATAGGGATAAAAATTTGGATCATGTTTTTTGCACTAGGAACACTAAGGGTGGGGACTTACAGAAAGAATTTAAAAAAAAAAACAAAACCATAATTGCTCACATTGAACAGATTATGTAGCTTCATATTATTCTGCATTGCGTTTAAAGGTTGACATGTTTAGTGTCTATTTACCCGACGTGACCCCGACTTTTATATTTTACCAAAAAATTGGGGTGAAAAAAAATGTTTCATAACATTTTATAGGGAAACATGTTTTTTTTCAAAATTTAGGGTACTTTTTTTGTTATATAGTAAAAAATAAAAACCCCAGTGGTGAATAAAAGCCACCAAAAGAAAGCTCTATCTGTCCCCAAAAAAATGGTATGAAAATCGTTTCAGTATAGCATTGCATGACGGAATAAACATCAGTCAAAGTACCGCAGCGCTGAATACTGAAAAATGGCCTGGCCAGGAAGGGGGTGAAACACTATGGCCTTCAAGTGGTTAAGTATTGTGATTATTATAATCAATTTACACTTTATGCAATGTGGCAATTAGGCAGAACTGAGGGAATGGTTACGTAAATTGTGTGTGCTTTTAAATGTAATTAATGGATTTTTAATTGAATATATTAATACATTTAAAAAATTTTTTAATGAATATCTGACACCTCTTAAAACCCCATGGAGACTTTGGTGTGTTTTTGTAGTTTGAATTTGGTATTTGGGGTTAGGTCTCGGACCACCTGGAATCACTAGGCCTGTGGAGTTACAGCTGAACAATTTTGCTATAGTCCAATGTCTAGGATTTAAGATACTCTAATGAACTGTGGGTGATAACAGCAATAAAAAGTAGAAAAGCCAGAAGTGGTAAAATATTCTTATGAAAAAAAATGCTAGAAGTTTTAGCTGGAGAACTGCATGTGTGAAGGTCAGCAAGTGGCAGTTCTACCGCGATTATAGATCAGTAAATTATATGGAGCCAAATCAAGATGAGAAAAATTGAAAAGCAGAACCCAGTAAGGACTTTTGCAGTTTGGTAAGAAGCCAAAAGGGAAGACAAGAAGGAAAGATTAAAATCTCACATCGCAGCATTGTCTTGGCCTCTCATCGTGTAATTTCCTCCTATATCACAGAGGTGAAATTATATTTGCTTTAGAATCATACTTTACAGTGTGAATATAAATATGCTTTTCTCTGATGTATAAAATGCATCTAAGCACAGATACTTTTCATTAATATTTCATATACTCAAAATCTGTTAATATTTATGAACTAATATTACAGTTCTGAAACAATAATGTGTTAAGGGACCAACTACCTTCATCCCAAACAAGGCCAAACTATTAACTGTGATACTAGATTTGGTCATATTGCTAGAGAAACAGCAACTTCTGTAATATTCACAGCACCTGCTAACATTTTTGAACTCAGACAGTCTGACTCAGGTCTCCGAGAGCAAGCCCCATCTTGCCATATGTCTCATAAATGGTGAAACTGTAATTAACAAACATAATATACCAAATAAAAATCAAATTAAAAAAAAAAGCTGTCTGAGCTAAGTGTAATTTATAGGTAAAGCTAGCTGTAAATGGCTCGAATGTTGGCCAATACCTGCTGAATAGGCAGAAATTTCCACTGTGGGTGGCCCCTTTAGCATCAAAAAATGACAAAAGTCAATTTAGAAATGAATTGAACACTATCGGCTAAACAATGACTTTGGCATAACAAATGCAGTCACTGTTTTGTATTCAATAGTGTCGTTAGTGTCGTTGCTGCACTCCATACAACGTTGAGACCATGCAAGTTGGTGGTAGTTGTAATGACATGGATGGTTCCTTGTGGAGCGCCAAATGAAAATCAGATAATCGCATCATATAGTATCATCTCCACCATTTGTTATACACAACATGTGTGCTGGTGATTATCTGATTTTCATTTTGTTTTGGTATTCAGACAACTGCCCCACAAAACAATAGCTGACACTAGAGGCTGGAATCTTTTGAATTGATTGATTTGATTATTAAATCTAGTCATGTATGTCTGGCATACTTCTGAGCTATTGTTCTTCATTCAGCAGGAAGTATGTGCTTTCATGAATAGAGAACTCTAGCTCTTATTTAGCAGAGGTAGCACATCTACAATGCCTCTTTTCTGTAAACTATTCTTTGTTAGTGTCTACTCCCTTCTTGGTCTTTTCCTCTATGCCTCTCTCTCTCAACTGCTTGTCAACAAGTCTCTATTGGCCTTCTTCTATGTTGTTTGCAATCAAGTGCTTGGCCTGCAGTATCAGATTCGCTCTGCTGCATGGTGTGGCCCACAGTTCAAATATGTACAGCACAGTGTAATGGGAAAACAATCCACCATGCACTCCAGTTCACACAGCACACCCTACTATTCACATTTATACTCTCAGCACTGTGTGCCGTTATACATTCTACACCCCTCGCCGCATACCCTAATACACAAATACACCCATCAAAAATGATACCCCCTCAGTGTTTATCAATGGATCTACACATCCTGGCCAACAGCCTTCATTTTCCTTACTTATTTATTTTTATGACAAGCTCCACTCAATACCTGCTCATCACATCCTTGTCTTTCCCAGTTTTTTTTAATCTCACTTCCTGGGTTTTGTCCTTAATGTAACTATGCAATGAATTTATATTACTTCACTGACTCTATACAGTGTTAGGAGGTTAGTTGCAAATGCAAAAGCTGCAATTAATTCTTCTTTTTGTAATAAAATAGGTCTGCGTGGATGAGTAGCCTCCAGGAGATCTTACTGGCTTAATGAAGCTCTTAAATACAGAAGCCCTTATGACATCTGCCAGGGTTGGCAAATTGCCGTTAAGGGCTTAAATTGAAGAAAATCACTGACAATCACTCACAAATGTTTTTTTAGGGAGCTGACATATGCAGAATATTAGTAATGACTAGTGATGGGAGAATGTTTTGATAATGTAATCTGCTGGCAGAGCTGACTTTGTTGGGTCAGATGTTTGCCTATCCTGAAGTTTTTTAAATGTTTGTGACTCTTTTAAAGAAAAAGGGATTCTTCCCTTCCACATTATTGCTCCCACATTCAAGACTAGAGTACGATCTACTGATTTACTGATTTACTGATTTAAAGAGACACTCTCACTTTCTCTATTCAGTGCTTGTGTTAAGCCTCCCCTCCTCCGAACCACTGATACTCACCTCTCCTGCAATCCTTCACCACCTTCTCCGTCCTTGCACCTTGAAACTCATCAGAGGGAGGAACCTGGTAGGGGTACAGTAATTACTAAATTATTTATTATTACTGTATGGTAGACATGCAAGTTTTGTTTCGTTCCAAATGCAAACTCGGACGAAATGTCGTGAATTCGGACATTTGAATACATACGAATGTCCGAAATCCAATGAGGCAGAATGCAAACGAATCCGGAAAATTTTGGATCATTAGAATTTGCTTCAAAATTAACCTAAATCAGACATGTGAGTGTTTTTTGGCCAATCAGAAACCCCCGTCCGAAACTAAAACGACATTCCGAAAGATCTAAATAACTAAATGAAACGCTATTCTGACCCGAAACCCAAAAGAATGAAAAATGCGAAACAAAAACATTTTTTGCTGGCTTACATGTCTGTTGTATGGGCTTCCTTTTTAAAAGCTGGAACATTTAAACAATCATAGACAAGCTCAGGGAAGACCCTACCTGTGATTTACAGTCAGAGCAGAGGTGCTAGAGAGGCCTTGAGCAAAGAAATTAAATGTATGGTTCACACAGCATGTTTTGTTTGGAGTTGCACTTTAAGAATTTTCATGGGTCAATCAAACAAGTTAATGTAGCTCACTGGATCAAGGTTCAGCCCGATGACCAGATATACAAACTAGTGTCAAACAAAATACCCCAAGTGGATCTCAGCTCTCACATTCATCTACTGGTCCTGGGTGATTGTGCTGTTTGTCTTGCCAGTAGGTAAGCACCAAGAATATGGATCATACACTGTGGAAAACCTCTTTCTTGCTCTATTAAGCAAAATTGGATACAGCTTTTATGCATGATGCACACACACCCATTTTTCTAAAGCTTTTTAAAAAAGCGCTTGAAAGCATGAAATGCATAAGAGCTGATGCTTTGAAAAGGTGTGGTACTTTTCAACTTGAGTTAAAAGGTTGATGGAAGTTTATTTAACTAGTTGAATAAAGATAACCTACTTTCATCAGTGTTCTTTAGCTAGTGACTCAGCATCCGACTGTGGCTTATGTCTTCATCGTGGAACTTTGTAGACTCTATGCAGGTACTCCAATCTAATCACCTGCTCCATTCAGGACTACACATATATGTGAAAGTGCCATGCACTTGTGTCTTTTTTCAGCCTGACTAACTATGTAACAATTCCCTACAGATTGACATTTTAATATGGCAGACACAGTGTGCTACCATAACATAACACCCATAGTGTGACATGAGCAACATACAAAGGCCCAGTCCTTACAAAATTGACATCTCATTTTCATTCTGGTGCTGAAAAATGTCCACAGTGACAGAGGCTTAAAATACAAGCCTTGAACATGGTGAACATGCCTCTAGCGAAAAAAGATTGCCTTTTAAGACTAAGTATCATCAGAGGGCATATAAATTCCCTCCAGCAATCCTGCACTAGCCTATTGACCGCTTAGAAAAATTATAGCTCTAAAAAAACATACATATCTGGAAGATGCTTTGGGCTTCCAATTACATCTCAATTACCCTGGTGAAATCAATGAAAATAATATAGTGTGTACAAGCAATGTAGAATTGGTATATACTCCATCCTTTACTGTGAGGATTGCTTAATTACACTTTAAAATACTTACATCGGCGAGGTCATCTGTGATTTACTGTAATTAGTCTTTTGAATTACTGCTTGAAATGAGCATTTTACAATTCCTTTCAGCTAATGCAGAATAAGATGCTGAGCAAAAGTAGCTATATACTATAATCCCCTTATGTGCAAGTAAAAGACAAATGGTTGTATCTTATTTTGGACATTGGACATTTGTAGTTAAACGTGCTGGAAACAGGATCAAAGTATAAATTATAGCAACATGACAGAAAAATTTGCAGATTGCAAGCGATTAGATTCTCATACTAGCAGCACTTTTATTGTCAGGAAAGAGAGCCAGGAAGGAAATTGAAAGAAGATGAGAAGCAGCATGTTCCTCTGTACAAGGACCTCAAAGGACAAAAGAGTCCATCAAAGAAGTAGATGGATGCAGGTCCAGATGGATTACCCATAGAGTAATCATTGGTGTCTCAAGGGCCCTGTCTATTGGACATCTACTGATTGCTGATATCCCCTGTAGAGGGACCAACCATCGGTCAGAAAACCTAATTTGCTGCAGTGTATGTCAGACTTTTCATTAATTAACAATAACACCAATAAATATAGGGCGATTACGTGCCCTGAAGCCAGTTCTATTTTATTTATTTATTAATTAAAGGTATTTATATAGTGCCGACATTTTTTTTTTTTACGCAGCGCTTTACATAGTACACATTTACATTAGAGCCTGCCCTAAAGGAGCTTACAATCTAAGGTCCCTATCTCACATGCATACATACAGGGACAATTTAGACAGGAGCCAAATAACCTACCAGCATGTGTTTAGAGTGTGGGAGGAAACCAGAGTACCCGGAGGAAACCCACGCAAACACAGGGAGAACATGCAAACTCCTTACAGATAGTGACCTGGCCAGGATTTGAACAAGGGATCCCCAGTGCTGCAAGGCGGAAGTGCTAGCCTTTATGCCACTGTGCTGCCCATTCCGCCACCATTTATAACCACAGTTCTTTGTGGGCGTACAGCCTGATTTTCTGCACTAAATTGCTGGTATCTTAATCTTTTATGGTTCCTGAGAAAAAGACACACTGCTGCCATTTCCAAGATTTTTCTCCCACTCCCCCCCTCCATTCCTCACCAGTCTTGTCTATGTGTCTTTACACAAACCCAGGCCTCATGTAACTAACCACTTGTGACCATTTGTGCTCAGAGCATTGACAGCTAGTTCGCTCGTCTCTTCTAGCAGGTGTAAATCTGCAAGTTCCCCTCTGCTAGACATGCCTCCGTGCTGTGGCAGACTCACGCTGCAGTTCCACATCTGACCTGATTAGATGTGTTTAAATTGAAGTCAGATTATTTATTCTGTGCTTGATACAGTGATCTGGTAGTCTGTAACCTGCCTGGCTATCCTAGGGAAACTGCTTCTCTGTCTGCCTTGACCATCTGTCTGTCTGACCACACTCTTAATCTTGATTTGGTAGCATACTTTGGCTGGTCAGCTAGTCACCATCGGTCATCATCTGGGCTTCGCCTACCTGATCATCAGCGTTTAAATCGCTCTACTACTGAGGCGATTAAACTGCTTGTTTACAGGTATCTTATTAGCAACATATTTATTTTAGGGTGCTGCAAATGAGATGACAGCTAACAAATGGTTAAATCTATCAGTAGCAAAAAGATGTAATCACAATGTAGCCCTAGCTTAATATATTGAAATCTAAATTTTTAACACTGTCCTGTGGGATCCAATGTATGTAAAGCCACAGTCAACAGCCAGGACCTTGATGTAAAAAGGTTTATTCCAGGGAATCTCCAGTGTTACAAGCATTGGAGATTACTGGGAGTAAACCTTTTTACATTGAGGTCCTGGCTGTTGAGTGCGGCTTTACATACATTGGATTACTGGTGACGGCCGTAGTGTTCCTCTGTTGGCCAGCACCCAGCATTTTAGATGGGACTGAGGGGTTTAGGCATGCGAATGTGAGCAGTGTCTTTTTCACAAACTGTCCTCTGGCAGTCAGGGCAAAATGCAAAACCTATGTAGGATTTAACTACATTGAAATTACACAAGATTTTGGGGCATTCCAATTAGGACAGCAAGAGATCAAGTGGTAAGTAAACCCTTTTAAGGGGGTCTACAGTAAATGCAATATAGTAATTTATCAAAACTGGAGCAGACAGAATCTGGAGCAGTTGCCCTTAGTAAGCAATCAGCTTCCCTCTTCAGTTTCTCCAGTTAATCTTTGAAAATGAAAGAAAAAAACTGATTGGTTGCCATCTACAGCTGCTCCAGATATTGTCTAAATCCACTTTTGATACATTTTTCTCTTGTATTATACATTGTATAGGTAAAATGCATATTCAGTTTCAGTAATGTTGTTTCTAGTTCAAGAGCTAAGTGAGCTGCACAAGTCAAAGTCTTTCACTTAACTATCTGACCAGTTATTTCTATTTTGTATCCCCAGGGTATAAACTGGTATCACTGGAAAGGACATGAATTTTCTATCCCTTTTGTGGAGATGAAGATGAGACCATACAGCCATCGTACCATGAAGAAACGCTCTCTCCAACTCTAATCTTAGTTGACCCACCAGTCAAACACATACTTTGCCCCATCTATATAGCATTGCCCTTTATCACATCACCAGCACAGTCACGTATACCCATTTTGTTAAGCTTAGACTATGTCTTTCAGATCAATGGTGGGCAATATCATAATTCTTGAGCGCTTGTAGCACTGGAGTAATGCAGCACTCTTTTTCATACAGTTCACTGAGCAAGTAAATTCTAAATTCATTGGTCAGGAGTCCAGATCTGTATTTAGAGTTTCGCCCTAGGCACATCTATAGGGTTTAACAATTTAAAGCACGAAGGGTTAATGGACAGAATATAGTGCTTGGTGCTATGGTATTGAGTTAAGTTAATAGTATTTTGCATTAATTCTGTCATAACTGCATATAAATGATTGGGCTGTTGTAACTTGGCAGAATGTTTTAAATACAATCTCAGATCAAAAAGCAGAGATGGCCGACTCCTTTATCCCCCACCACCCCCTTCCAAGTTCTATTGTCTACAGATGGACAGGTAAGAAATATAAATAAGAACAAAAATTACATAGTTACAAAGTCAGGTTGAAAAAAGACACATGTCCATCGAGTTCAACCTATAGAGATATAAAAAAAAAGAAATATAAATAAAAACAAAAAATAACTATTTTTTGTGGTCCTTCTTACCCTACTGTGTTAAACTCCAAGGCCATGAGTGGTAAATATGGCCTGCCTGTTGGAATGTATTGCAGAGACTGCAGAGAAATGGAAGAAGGATATACTGTATGTAACATTAAACAGAAATTGTCTTGCATCCTTCCCCCCATCTCTGTTGAGTTTCAAACTTTCCTCTTCCAACCTGAAGTTGCACTGGTAAAGTTTAAGTTTGTCTAGGAACAGCAGACACTACTTTTATTTCTTTTGTACCTTTCTCTCATTTAAGTTCACTTTGGTAAAGACATTGAACTTTCTGTTACTTTACGGCTAAGTTCCACTGTAAAGTGGGTGCTCAATAAACATGCTCTCACTGGCCACTGAGGCACTCTCATTGGAAAGAGCAATGGCAATTGTAGAAAACTTAGTCCATACATTATGTGAAATCAGGCCCCAGTAAGAAACAAAAGGAGTAACTATATTAGAGAGGGATGAAGAAGAGAATTTGCTAGCACATAACAGTAATATTGTGGTGTCTGCTCATAGGACGTTTATACATTTTAAATGGAGTGGTTCACTTTAATAAATTAGGTGTTCAAGGCTCTGTAAACTGTATGAATGTATAGTGTTCGCACTTCAGCTACAGAATACAGTGCAGCCATGGTTGTAAATAACTCATCATCAAAGGTATGAAACCTGAGCCCACCACTGTCTTAGACTACCTTTCTATCATTAATACCTTCTAATTTACAGATTAAGTTATTAAATCTTTCCCTGCACTGCAATTTCTTCTTTTCATTTATTCTTCACTGTACAGTATTTAGCCTCTCTATTTAGCCTCTCTTTTCCCATCATAAATTATTTAACACATTTTTCTACATTGCTTCATCTTCACTTCTTTCTGCTACTAATACTGATTTTTCATTTGCCCATTGCTTTACTCCCATCCTTTCTAAGGCTGAATTATTCTTATTAAAGAAGGTGTGTTTTTTTTATTTTTATTATTATTATTATTATTATTTCCTCCTTTTCCTATTTAATTTTTAATGACCTTGCTCCCTATGGAGACAGCTGTCCTTCAGTCCCTTTAGCACCTGCAAAAATGTTTTTTTCAGCAGACAGAAGAGTTAATGTCTTGCTAATAATTAATGTGCCAAATTCAGCTCCTCCCTTGCTCCTCTGATTCTTTTCGGTCAATGGAGATGTCTTTGTATACTTGCCTGACATTTGCAAGAGGAGTGAACTTCCTGTGTAGCACTGAAGACACAGCAGCCATCCAGAAACTATTTTCTGTGGACAGGATTCAACTTTTTAATTTTGATAACTTGCATTGGCCAAAAAAATATATATTATAAGCCAACGCCTTACTGTCTTGTTGTATAAAGGGTTAACTGCTATAGTCAATCTTTTCTGTTCCCAATATTTGTGAAATTTCATTTTCTTTTACATTATTTTATGTGTGCCCTGGTTCACATCCAGTCCAAATGCTAGTGTTCCTCAGTCTTCATAGGACATAGTGCCATGTAAGGTCTTTCTTCCACTATGGTGACTGGATGCATATAGGGTAAGAGGCTTGGGAAGCAGGTCCTTACTGCCAAACAAAAGACTACTGAGAGGTGCCTGTAACAGGGTTCACTGCCCTATTTAATCTTGTATCTCTAGTCCTGGATGCTGTTAGCCGATGTATAGATCCTTTTTTTAATGCATTTTCTATACGTTATTAAAAGATTCCTATGGGATGATATCCGTGTTTGTGTCTCTTTCATGAATTGTGGTGGAACTTTAGTGAAACATCATTTCTCCAAGGGAAATCCATTCAGAGGACCCACCTACTCCATTCAGCATCTACTTCAGGAACATTCAGTGACCCCTATCTAATGCTGACCATACACATCGCAACCACACTGGATGGCTGATGGTAATTAGATTAATTGCACATGAAATACACTGCCTGGCCTTCGTCAAGGCTTGTAGTAGTAAAAGCTGAAAGATAACTCCAAGTGAGGACAGGTACCCTGGAATGTATTTACTTAGCATATGCTTAAGAAAGGCATATCCAAACTCAAAAGCAAATATATAATATAATGCATCTTACAAGTCCTTAGATGTGGTGACTGCATTAGATTTCTTTTATAAAGTAAATTTGGAGCAGCTACAGAAAATGAATGCTGCTCTTGCCAGAAATGTGGTGTCCTTGTCACTTTCTATGACCTATAAAGAAGGCATGCACATCCTTATTGTTCTAGTGTAAAGGACTAGTCTCATCAAATCACCATTTAATAGAGATGAACAAAGGTAGACATGTTTGAAGTCCGGCCTGTGTGAAAACCATGGCTCTTTCCATAGATACACTGGAGAAATTAGTATAGCCTCGAAGGGACAGAATGTGTATAAGTAATTTGCAGAGCCAATCCCTTGTTAATTTCTGTGAACATTCATTCTGTGCAAATAGAAGTAAAAACTGTTCTTAGTATATTTTCTTTTCAGGTTAAATGTAATGTATTACCACCTGTATGGCCTCTAAATGTTACATAGTTACATAGTTACATACATGGAGCTATGGAACATAGGAAATAAGTATCTAATGGCCATAATGTGGTATTGCTTTACATTACATACAACCTGAAATTAGATTAAACAAAGAACATTCATTTTTATCCTCTATTCCCACAGAACGAGCGTTCCTAGAGATTCACAGGGAGAATGGCTCTGTGAATTGTTTATGAATAAACCCCTAACAATTATAAGGTAATAAAAAGGACATAATCATGTACAAATGAGGACAGTGAAATGTATTCATATAGACTTGAAATTAAAACAACAGTAAAATTGCTCAGGACAATAAGGAATTTGGCAATATAGGCTTTGGGATTCAACAAATTTATCAATTAAAGCCCTCCGCTAAAATTGTTTAACAAATTTAAATAACATAGTCAGAAGAAACATAGATTATGTCTAAGAATGAATACATTTGTGATAATATCGGAAGACACTGAAAAAGCCCCCTTCTAACTCACATTTGCAATTAAAAGAAAACGTAACTAAAATGATATAATTATCTAGTGAGCACTTTATTTGAATAATTAAGATATATAGAAGAATATGTAGTACCTTTGAACCCTTTCCATTTAACGCAAAAAAATTGTACTCTTTGGATTATCCAGGTCCTCCTGTAATGTTATAATGTCTAAGTCCGTGTCTATTACCCTCCCAATTTTGGTGTCATCCGCAAACACGGAAATATCGCTGTTAACACCCTCCCCGATGTCATTAATAAATAAGTTGAACAATATGGGACCCAGCACAGAACCCTGAGGCACACCGCTCATTACACTAGCCCAGTCTGAAAAGGTGCCATTTACAGATACACTCTGGACCCGTTCCCGTAGCCAGTTCTCTATCCACGTACACACCACCTCATCTATGCCCATAGCTCTCAGCTTGTGCGTTTGTACATTTCACCTGTCATGTATTATAATGGCTTAACTGCTTTCAGACAATTATAAAATGCACTTATACCTTTTTACCAGCCTAGGAAGGGTCCTAGCTATCCAGACTCTAAAAAAAAAAGGATTGATAGAGAATCAGTGGAAGTCAGAGAAAATGATTAATTTTTTTTGCATATCCGTATCTCCTTCATAAATATTGTAAAGACCAAAGTTCCAAAAGGGGGATATTTATGGTATACAAGCACTGAACACCAACATATAAATTTCATATAAAAAAGATTATTATTTTTTCGCATCCACAAATTCTCCTGCTTAAAACCATAGAACTACCCGTTACAATTCCATAGTTGTATAGTGTACATCACAAATTATCTTGCATATGCGTTTTTTCATCTGATACATTTCTCGGAACAAAGTCCACTTTTTGAAGGATGCATATGTGATTAAGTGGTAAGAATTATTTGATGAAAAAATAAACATGCCGTGTAAGTTACAAGAATACATATAGAGGGGAATTTATCAAAACTCGAGCAGAGAGAATTCGGAGCAGTTGCCCATGGCAACCAATCAGCTTCTCTCTTCAGTTTGTTCAGTTAAGCTTTGAAAATGAAAGAGAGAAGCTGATTGGTTGCTGTGCACAGCTGCTCCAGATTCTGTTTTGATAAATTCCCATCACAATACTTTATTTGATTATTGTCTATTATTGAATATCAGGATAGAGACCTTGTGTAATGAATAATAATATGTTATCTAGGGATGCACCGATACTTGTATCGGTATCGGTGACGATGCCGAGTATATGTGGGCTAGTAGCCGTACTGGCCCAAATGCTCCAATATCTAGCCCGATACCTGAGCTTCCGGTATCAGGAAGTCGGGCAGTGAGTCATTACACGCTGCCCAGCTTCCTCAATGGCAGGGAACCCGGGCAGCATGTAATGACTGATTGGTTAGGAAGCTGGCCAATCAGGAAACCGGATGGCGAGTCATTACCAGCCCCACGGCTTTCTGATTGCCTAGAAAGCCGGCGTCATGCTCCCTCGTCACCTGGTGACAAGTGAGCATGGAGATGGCTTCCCTGCTAGTCGGGCAGCCCGGTGGCAAGTCATTACACGCCACCTGGCTTCCTTAATGGGACTTC